CCCCAAAACCCCAAAACCCCAAAACCCCAAAACCCCAACAAATGACATCACATTGAAACAATTTTATTTATCATATTCCTAAGGTCCTAAATTTAAATCATTAAAGAGATGGTATTCCTTCAGATGCATCCAAAACTTCGACTTTCTTAGCAAATTCTTCAGGATTTGAGCTCCTTCCACTGTTGTCTGACTGGCTTTCCATATCTTTCAGCTCGGTCCTAGTCTTGTAGATCTGGTTGCTCTTCCAGTAATACATAACTTGGCAGAAGATAGTAAAGTTTAATATAGTGGAAAGTCCACTTGTAAACATATTATACAAATCCTGGGTTTCCTTCATGAATGTATAAGTTCTGGCCAGATTTCCTAGTGCGTTGGCTAAGAACATTATACTTGAGAGCTCTCCAGTGAACTTAGACTTGAAGTTCTCCAAAATCTGGGGCAGTCTCGAGTATGCCACCATTAGAATTTGAATATCCATGAACAATTTCCATAAGAAATTTGGGACAAGAGCATCAAAATAGAGGAAAGAAAAAGTCCCAAATATCGAAAGTGTTACGATAGCTTTTGGTACATTAGAGGTCTTGTTTCCATACAGCCAGAGCAGGGCAATAACAATGAAGTTTTGAAATAGGAGGGCAAAGTTCTCACCATAGACACTAAATGGAGAGTTTAAATGGATGTTGTAGCATCCATTTATGATGAACATGAAGCATTCCATGTAGAACATTGATGGTAAGATACCCCTTCCTGATCTTGCTTTGAGGATATTGTAAATCTGTGGCAGCTTGACCAACATCGCACCAAGGATGATTCCATATCCAAGTCCTTTAGAGATAGTAATGGAGATACAATCTTTGTAGAAGAAATTCAAGTCCAAAAATTCATTGAAGCAATCTTCTCTGAAGAAAAGTAACTTATACTTAGGTGAGTCCTCTTCAGTAGCTTCTGTTTCTTGGCCAGCATCGCTTGCAACAGTTGCTCAGATCGTTAATGTAAATAACAGGAGCAAGAGGAGGCAAGAATGGTTGAATTTCATTTTTATTACTATATGATTTAAATTATAATCATAGAGATTGGGGTTTTGGGGTTTTGGGGTTTTGGGGTTTTGGGGTTTTGGGA